GTCAGCAGTGCTGAGGCTGAAATACCCTGTGTCAGCGTGAGAGTCTCCATCCTTCATCTATATCTGCATATCATCCATCTTGTCCGTCTATCAGTTACCAATCGATCAGTCACCTATGCCCCTCTATCCATTTATTATTCATCTATGTCATCTACTTATTATGGATTAATCATAGGTCTATGCATTATGTGCCTATCATACATCTATATGTCTATCTTATCTGCGACTTTAGGTATGCATCATCTAGCTATCATTCATCCTATATCTAACTTATCTATGAGTTTATGGATATATCATCCATCTCTCTATTAATCCATTATCTATTTCTATATTGTTCACCTATCGCATCCATCCACCCATCTATCCATCCATCTTATCTATCTATCCATCCATCTCATCTATCTATCTCATCTATCTACCATCTATCCATCCATCCAGTCTTATCTATCTATCCATCCACCCATCTATCCATCCATCTTATCTATCCATCCATCCACCCACCCATCTATCCATCTCATCTGTCTATCTACCATCTATCCATCCATCCAGTCTATCTATCTATTTGTTCCATCTATCCATCCATCCATCTCCTCTATCTATCCATCCACCCACCCATCTCATCTATCCATCCATCCATCCATCCCAACTATCTTGTCTATCTATCTACCATCTATCCATCCATCCACCCACCCATTCATCTATCTCATCTATCTACCATCTATCCAGTCTATCTATCTTTCTCTCTCTCTCCCATCTATCTATCCATCCATCCATTTCATCTATCTATCCATCCATCCATCTCATCTATCCATCCATCCCTCTCATCCATCCATCCATCTCATCTATCTATCCATTCATCCATCTCCTCTGTCTATCTATCCATCCATCCATCTCATCTATCTATTTGTCTGTCCATTCATCCATCTCCTCTGTCTGTCTATCTATCTATCTATCCATCCCTCTCACTCTACAGCAGTCTTCTCAATCAAGGACCATTTACTACCCCCTCAGGGGACACTTGGTGATATCTGTAGACACCTCCGGCTGTCACAACTACAGTGGGTGCTGTTGGCATCTGGTGAGTGGGGCCCAGGGATGCTGCACCCCACCCCACAGTGCACTAGCTGACCCTCCTTGGGGAGTCCTCCAGCCCCAAATGTCCTCAGTCAGGACTCCTGGTCCAAAGGGAGAACAGGCTCGGGTGGGCAAGGACCATGCCCAGTACATCATGGTGGAGGCATTTCAAACTGTGAAACTGCAACTCAAGCACCGGGGAACCCAAAAGACTCTCCCAAGGTGGCCTCTCATCTGAATAGAGGCCTCTCGTCTGAACAGAACCCCTAACCCCATGTGCCCTCCTGCTCAACACGTCCAAGGAAACCATGGAGGACACACCTGAGGGGCTCCATGCAGATGAAGATAATCGTCCAGACACATCAGATCCAGTCTCCTTTATGGTATAGATAAGAGCACAAAGGGGCGTATGATTTCAACACCTCCAAGAACAAGTGCACACAGAACTCAAGCCTTACAACCTACCTTCCCTCATCAAAGGTCCTTGATTTTTCCCTCAGCTTACGCATGTGAGGAATCGTTTCTTTCCCTAGAACACATCTGAACTCAACTCCCAGGATGGCTGGACAGCCCAAAGCTGCTTGAGCAATTGTAACCCACCACAGCACTCTACCCTGCCTACCTCAAATGCATTTTCTCTTAAAACTTTCACCCAGAAAAACACACACTATTAAAAGAAAATCTCGTGTCACTGACCCTTAGCAAAGAAGTCTATTTTCAAATATGATCTTGTATTTCCGGGGTAAGAGTCATCACTGCCCCCAGCATCTGGGAAAACAGCATTTCCAGTCTGGCCCCCTGGACTGTGTAGCTGCCCAGGGGACTTCCTGAGGCTAAAACTCTGGCCAGGAGGAAGGCACTGGCTGTGACACGTTTGTTTCTCTCTATCATTACTTATTAGCTGGTCACACTTGGACACTCTGCCAGCAAAAGGGAATAAAATAAAGAAATAAGGCTCGGTGCCCGTAGCACAGTGGTTACGGCCCCAGCCACATGCACCAAGGCTGACGGGTTCGAACCCAGCCTGGGCCAACTAAACAATGAGAACTGCAACAACAACAAAAAAATAGTCAGGTGATGTGGCAGGCGCCTGTTGTCCCTGCTACTTGGGAGGCTGAGGCAAGAGAATCGCTTAAGCCCAAGAGTTTTTGAGGTTGCTGTGAGCTGTGACGCCACAGCCTCTACTGAAGGTGACAAAAGTGAGACTCTGTCTCAAAAAAATAAAGACATAAGAAACACAGGTGTCTGTCTTCCAGGAACTCACAGGGCATCAGGAAAAACTGCTGTATAAATGTTCACCTGTAAGAGAAAAAAAGACATCTGAGAAAATATTTTCATAAACAGCCTTTGGGAAAACTTGCCAGGTACACAGGTCACCTCACAGCTTCAGAAGAAAACCAGATACATGCTGTGAACTATGAGAACAGCTTTTCATTGTATGGTGGAAGGTTTCAGTGGGGAATTTTTTTTTTTGAGACAGAGCCTCAAGCTGTCCCCCTGGTATCACAGCTCACAGCAACCTCCAACTCCTGGGCTCAAGCGAGTCTCCTGCCTCAGCCTCCCAAGTAGCTGGGACCACAGGCGCGCGCCACAACGCCTGGCTATTTTTTGGTTGCAGCCATCATTGTTGTTTGGCGGGCCCAGGCTGAATTCGAACCCGCCACCTTAGATGTATGTGGCTGGCACCTTAGCCACTTGAGCCACAGGCACCGAGCCTTCAGTGGGGAATTTTATCAGTCAACATGATGGAGCCATGGGGCACCCAGGCATTTGGTGAAACACTATTTCTGGATGTGTTCCAAGGGCATTTCTGGAAAAGATTAGCTATTGGTAGACTGAATTGATAGTCTATAGGCCATAATAACAATATTTATTCGATGTAGAGTTTATAGTTTTATATTGCATCTAAATCTTTTATTTATATATCATTATTTGATATACAAATTATATATAATATATATTGCATATAATGTATAATTTTATATTACATAGCGGGACCCAAAAGTCACTATACATATAGGAAAAATGGAAAAGTGTGGCTAAGTGAACCTTTATTTACAAAATGGGCATCACAAAATATTTATAAAATAGTCATCACAATTGCCACTGTGGACCCGCCTCCCCCACATCCTGCAGGTCGCAGGGGCCCGCTGTCCCCGGAGATAGGGGTTCTGGGGGACTCAGGCGTAGTCAAGACCATCACACGTCCAGTACTCTCTGCTCCCTACTGGGACCTCCCTTGCGTGTGACCCCCACTGCCCGCCAGGACCCCCATGTTTGAGCCCCCTGCCGCCCGAGGGGACCGGCCACCCCAAAGTGTGCTGCCCGTAAAACTCGGGGAACTACCCCGGTCCGCCGCCGCACTGGGCTGGCGGGGAACCCCCATGTCTGCACCCCTAACGGTACGCAGGGATCCCCCTACGCCTGCGCCCGCTCCGTGCCCGCGGGGACGCGCACGTCTGCGCCCTCTACGGTCCGCAGGGACTCTCTTGATTTCTGTGTCTCTCCAGGTCCGAGCCCCGTAGTGCCCGCGGGGAACCCCATGTCTGAGCCAGGATCCCCCCAAGTCTGAGCTCCTTACCTACAGTGGGCCCCGCTAAGTCGCTGCTCCCTCCCGCCCGCGGAGCCACCTCCAGGTCTGAGCCTCCTACTGCCCGCCCCACCGCGGCCGCTGGGACCTCCCACGTCTGCGCGCCGCACCGCCCGCGGGGACCCTAGTCGTCGCGTCTGCAGGGCTGGTATCTCTGCCGGTTCCCGGAACCGGCCTTGTCTCCTCTCCAGTCTGGAAGGGCTCAGAACCTCCCCCTGGGCGGGACCTGAAGAGCCGGGACCTGAAGAGCGCTGTCGGGGCGGGGCCGAGGCTTCCTTGCCTAGGAGTGACGGACGGCGGGAGGGGCGGGGCTTCCTCGCGGAGGAAGGACTGGAAGTGGGAGGGGCTTAGCCCGGGAGGCGGGGCTTGCGTTGGGAGGGGAAGGGCTTCCTCGCAGAGGGGGGACGGGGCGGTGGGCGGGTCCTCAGGTGGGCGTGGCTCCGCGCTCCTTTCTCTGTGGCCACCGTGCGCCTGCGCAGGGCGCGGGTCTTTGAGTCTACGGGTCTCCGGGTCTCCGTCCCGGCTGCAGCGCCATGGTGCTGTGCCCGGTGCTCGGAAAGCTGCTGCACAAGCACGTGGTACTGGCCAGTGCCTCCCCGCGCCGCCGGGAGATTCTCAGCAACGCGGTGGGTGAGCTGCGACCGGCCGTGGGTGCGGGCCATTACGTGGGGAGGGGACCGCGGACGCCGGGGACGGAGGCTGGGCCTGGTGACTGGGGTGGAGGACTAGGGTCTGCTAGTGGCCGGCATGGGGACCTAGTGACCGCTGGTGACCAAGATGGAGAGCTGGTGACCGTTAGTGGCCAGGATGGGAACCTGGTGACCGTTAGTGACCAAGATGGGGACCTGGTAACCCCTAGTGACCAAGATGAGGGCCTCGTGACCAGAATGGGGGGCCTGTTCACTGCTGGTGACCCCGATGGGAGGGCCTACTATGGTGGTCTAGTAACCGGAGTGGGTGACCTTGTCATTGCTAGTGACCAGGTTGGAGGCCTGGGACCTCTGAGGGGCCAGGAGCTGTAAGCTGTAGAGAGGCCCTTCAGTGATCTGGGGGTTGTAGTGCAGGGGCCTATGTGATTTGGGGTCCAGGGTCCAGGGACTTAGTGACCTGCAGGTATAGACCCACATGCACCCTGTAGGGGTGTGGGGGGTTCCTCACTGGTGGCATTACCCAACCCAGGTTTAGGTCCCCAGAGACTCAGGACTGGCCTCCCCTGGGGCTGCTGTAAGTCCCCATGTGTTAGGGGAGCAGGCTAACACCATCATTTCTGGAACTTCGTGTGGACAGGACCCTTTCTGTAGGCCGCTTTGACCCTCAGTGGCCCCTGGGAGCCTTCTGACCTCACACCACACATCCCGATCAATACTCCCCCGCCGCCAGCTTCTCTGTTCTCCAGCCTGTCCCCTGCATGTCCACCTGGGCTTGGTTCATGGTCTGTCCCTGGCTGGCTCCCTAACCCCACGTGGGTACATGTTAAAAGCCAAAGCCAGTGGCCTGGGTCACCGCCCAGCAGAGGCGTGAATCTTGCACCTCCTGTTCTGGGGCTCTCCCACCACCCTCCTAGATCCTTTTTCTTCTGTTGCAGGGTCTCAGGTTTGAGGTGGTTCCTTCCAAGTTTAAAGAGAAGCTGAATAAAGCCTCCTTCCCCACCCCCTATGCATACGCCGTGGAGACAGCCAAGCAGAAGGCCCTGGAAGTGGCTAGCAGGTTGCACCAGGCAAGGGGCCCTCTTCCTCTAATGCTCTCTTGCTGTGAGAGGATTTCCAGGTTTTTAACATAAATGTTATAAATCAATGCCATTTATATATATATGATTAATGCTGCTTATCTGTTACTTCGTTATAACGTACTATTGCAGTATCATTCATAATACCTTTCCTATTGTGTTTTATAATTGATATATAATTAATGTACAGTACCATTGATAATGTAGGATGAGCGTGGCTTATTACTGTGTGTTTTTACTGCAATGCACACAACAGTATCATTTATGATGTAGAATTATGTAGCTTATCATTACTTTATACTATCCTATACTATCCTATTATAAATAACACAGTACTATCATTTAGGATGTGGAATTAATGCAGTTATCTGTTACTATTTAAATAACAGGTAGTATACTATTGCAATTCATATAATGTCAGTTATAGTATACTAATACAATTAAGGTACGTGTATCTTATGTATTAGTATTTGTTATAATCTGATATACTGTTGATAGTATACCCTAAATATTATCATTTAGAGTATAGAAGTAATGTAGCTGGTCTGTCAGTTTGCATTTTATAACATACTATTGCAATTAATAAAATATCAGTTATAATATAGAATCAATATATCTTATATGTTACTGTTTGTTATAATGTGATATGTGATATACCATGGATATAACAATATCATCTAGGGTTAGAATTAGTTTATCTGTTTCTACTTGTGATAATGTAACATACTATTGCAATTCGCATAATAAATGCATTGAAGTTAATGCTATAATTTAGTGTTATAGATAAATGAGTAGTGACTGGTTGGTTTTGATACGGGATCACTTAGACTAGTATTTAGGTGCAAACCAAGATCAAGGTTGTATATAGATTTCACATGACGGTGTTCAGCCCCAAGGTTGAATTTTGAGCTTAGATTTGTTCTATTGACTTAAGTACTTTATCCCCATATACTGAGTGGGTCAAAAACCTTTTGGCCATAATTCAGATGCTCAGGGAGCATCTGGGGCCTGAAATCACCCTTCATGGAGCTGGCCCAGGAGCTCCCCCCTGAAGGAATGAAAAGCCTGCAGAGCCAGTGTGAACATTCCCAGTGTGGCCACCAGCTGCTCTGGAGCGCCCAGCAGGTGCCGTCCCCCAGAGCTGATCACAGGGTCCCAGCCCCTGGGCCCTGCAGGACCTGGAGATGCACCTGTGTCCTTGCCTGGGGCGATGAGGGCTCCAAACTCAGGCTGCTGTGACGTCTCAGAGATGCTTTCCCCTGGTGCAGCATACCGTGAACATGTTTGTGTGAGACTCACAGGAAGGAATGTCCCTTCTAAATTTGAGGTTGGCTTTCTTCTAGAAGGACCTCCGGACCCCCGACGTGGTCATCGGGGCAGACACCATCGTGGTGAGTCCTCCTCTGTATAGCCTGTAGTTTGGTTTACATGTTCTTGGAGATTCAGCTTGTGTCAGACCCTGACCCAGGAAGTGAGTGCCTCAGGGAGCCGGTGTCCCCCCAGGGCCCAGGACGCGCCCACCTGCATAGGTAGAGGGCGCACTTGTTCCTGGACCGTCTGTAACACCCACAAACCCAGTGGCTCAAACAATAGAACTATCCTCCCCTAGGGTTCTAGGGACCACAAGTCTAAATTTAAGGCACCAGCAGGCTGCCTCTTTCTGGAGGCTTGGGGGGAGAGTCAGGTCTATGCCTCCGTCCACCTTCTGGTGGCTTTTGACGATCCTGGATAGTCTTTGGCTTGTGGCTGCATCACCCCAACCTCTGCCTTTGTCTTCACGTGGCCTTGTTCCACTGTGGGTGTCTGGGTCCAAATTTCTGTTCTCTAATAAGTGCACCCCTCAGTGGACTTAGGGATCACCCTCCTCCCATCTCACCTTGCCTGAACTGCCTCTGCAAAGACCCTGTTTCCAAGCACCACTGTGTTCAGAGGGGCCGGGGGTAGGTGGCAGACAAACCTTCTGGGGAGCAGGATTCTACCCACAATGCGTGTTTGCACACTGAGCAGAATGCTGTTCTGTGGGAACCGTCCGTGTGTCTCTGCCACGCCAGAGACACATCTAAGCCCCTCTTCTGGCCAGCCTGGTGCCAGCATGATGGAGGGATGTTGAGCCCTAGTGCCAGGCGCTGCAAATGTAAAGACAGTCCAGGGGTAGGAAGCACTCACTGCGGTGATCCAGGGTCCCCCTGGCTCCATGTGGCTAAAGTGATGGTACCTGTGTGCCTGCAGGCAAAAAGGAGATCCCGTTCAGAGGCAGGGTCTCACTCTGTCACCGCGGCTGGACTGCAGTGGTGTCATCATAACTCACTGCAACCTCCAATTCCTGGGCTCAAGCCATCTTCCTGCCTCAGCCTCCTGAATACTTGGGCATACAGACAGGGACCTACCATAATGCCCGGCTAGTTTTTCTATTTTTAATAGAGATGGGGGCTTCCTAATGCTCAGGCTGGTCTCAAACTTTTGAGCTCAAGGGATCCTCCTACCTGGGCCTCCCAGAGTGCTGTGATTACCAGCATGAGCCACCATGCCTGTTTCAAGATTGTAAAGTTTTAAAAAAAAAATTGTTTTTAGAGACAGGGTCTTGCTATGTTGCTCAAGCTGGGTTCAAGCTCCTGAGCTCAAGCGATCCTCCTGCCTCAGCTTCCCAAGTAGCTGGGACTTCAGACGCCACCTTGCCTGCCTCTAGGGATGTTAAAAAGTGAAAACTCAGGTTCCTTCCTGAAAAGGATAGATATAGAATTACGTGGTGCTCCAGCAATTCTGCTGTTGTGGGTAGAATTGTCAAAGCCCAAATTACCAAAGCCCATTACAGACTGTGGCTGTGTTTGGAGATGGGTCTTTGCAGAGGTGATTAAGGTAAAATGAGTCACCAGGGTGGTCCTGACCCCCTGGGACTGCTGTCCTGATAAAAGAGGGGATGAGGACACAGACATGCACAGAGGGCCGACCCTGTGAGGACACAGGGAGAACATGGTGTCTACACGTGTGCCCAGGAGGGACCAGCCTGAGACACCTCGCAGGAGGGACCAGCCTGAGACACCTCGATCTCGGACTTCCAGCCTCCAGGATGTGGGAGAATGAACTTCTGTGGTTTAAGCTGCCGGGTCTGTGGGATGGTCTGCGGGACTCTGGCAGGGCCGCCCCAGGAGACTAGTACATCTACTGTTTGATGTAAACCTGAAAAATTGAAAGCAGATATTCAAAGAAAACCTTGAACACAAATGTTGACAGCAGCCAAAAGCTGGAAACCACCCAAATGTCCACCCAGGCGAGTGTGTGAACAGGCTGTGTTCTGTGCATGCCAGGGAGCCGTGTAGAAAGGGAACGGGGTCTGACACCTGCTGAGTGGATGAACCATGAGACAGAGGCTCTGGGGGAGGAGCCAGATGGGACGGGCACCTGTGATTCCATTTACATGCAGCGTGCACAGGACAGTGGGCGCATGGTCTCCAGGGACTGGGGAGCAACTCTGCATGGGGCGAGGTGTCCTTTGGAGGCAATGAGAATGTTCCTGAACTGGACACAGGTGGAGTTTGAACATGGTGAATGTACAAAATGCTCCTGAATTGTTTGCTTTTGAAATGGGGAAGTGAGGCAGGGCTTGGCGGCTCACTCCTGTAATCCCAGCACTCTGGGAGGCCATGGTGGCAGGAGTTTGAGACCAGCCTGAGCAAGAGGGAGACTCTGTCTCTACTGAAAATAGAAAAACTAGCCAGGCCAGGTGGAATGCTCCTGTAGTCCTAGTTACTCAGGAGGAGGCTGAGGCAGGAGGGTCGCGTGAGGCCAGGACTTTGAGGTCGCTGTGAGCTAGGCTGAAGCCGCAGCACTCTACTGAGGCTGACAGAGCAAAACTCTTGTCTGAAAAAAAAAAACAATTAAAACGGGAAAGTGTGTGTCATGTCGATTTCACTTCAACAAAAGCCCAACTTCTAAGTGGACAGTGGGACTTTTGCAGAAGGGAAGTGGTAACCGACGTCCTCTGTGCTGGTGTCTCGCAGGCGGTGTCTGGGCTGATTCTGGAGAAGCCGGTGGACAAGCAGGATGCCTACAGGATGCTATCCAGGTGGGCACAGCTATCCGGGATGCAGAAAGAGCCTTGGGAGTCAGTGCGTGGCCTCAGTGGTCAGAGCCTCAGCTCCCCCAGCCTGAGATATGAGGATGGAGCAAGCCCACTGTGTGCCTTGACCCCTGGCACATTCTCAGCCTGTGGGCTCTGTGTTCTGCCCACATACACTTCCCCAGCTCTGGGCTTCAGGGCAGCTGTCCCGTCCAGTTGGCTGCACGGGGCAGCCCCGTGCATCTTACCCTGGTGGCATTTGCTGAGGAGGTGGGAGTCCAGTTGGGATTCCACGGCAGCCACCCTGGTGCTCCACGTTGGCCATGCCCCATGCTCCCAGCTGGGCAGCCCAGGCTGCCTCACCTCTCGTTCCATCTCTGCACACACAGAAGGCCCCTGGGAAGGTGGGAGCTCTCTTTACAGCTCCTGCCCGCCACGGTGTGGGGTGACGGCTGTGTCTTGCAGGCTGAACGGGAAAGAGCATAGTGTGTTCACGGGTGTTGCCATCGTCCACTGCTACAGCAAAGGTGACTGGGGCCCAGGGGGACGTGAACTTGGGGAGACTGCACCCCAGGACAGACCCCAGGCCCTCTGAATTGCTGTCAGTCCTGCTGTGCGTGGAGGTGCCCCCTCCCTGCTGTGGCCATGTGCTGACCTTGAAAGTGCCACTTGGAGGATTTCGGCACAGAATGGGAGGCCCTGTCTGTGGGCTGGCTCTGCCTGTCCCCTCCTGATTCCCCCGAGGTCTCTGGTGTCCTCTTTCTGTTTTGTGGCTTTTCTCTTCTTTCCTGTCTAAGTGAACCTTCCCTCTTCACCAAGGGGAGGTGTCTGGCTGTGGGATGAGCCTGGGGTCCATCCCCTCATGGGCAGTCAGGAAACAGAGGTCAGCCTGGCTGTGCACCCTCACCTCTGGCTGTGCACCCTCACCTCTGTGCCTTTGTCCTTACAGAGGGTCAGCTGGACACTGAGGTCTCCGAATTCTACGAGGAAACAAGTGTGAAGTTCTCGGAGCTGTCCGAGGAGCTCCTCTGGGAATACATCCACAGTGGGGAGCCCATGTGAGTCCGGGGGCTGTGTGTGGGGCTGGGGACCAGGCAGGGGACCCCAGCTGTCTGCACACATGGGATACTGTCCGCCTCCGGAAAAAAAAAGAAATCCTGTCATCCGTAACAACACAGATGGACCTGGCAGATGTTCTGTTCAGTAAAATAAGCCAGGCACAGAGAGACACATACAGCCCTTGCTGTCGCTCTTCTGTGGAATCTAAGGACATTGATGCCTCAGAAACAGACTAAAAGGCTGCAGCTGAGGGCAGTGGGCTGAGGACATGTCACTCACAGACTGCGAAACTCCAGTTCGTTCATGAGACATGTTCTACAGCCAACTGAAATTAAGAACCATGGATCGTGTTCTTTTTGGGGTTTTTTTGGAGATAGGATCTCACTCCATCCTCCTGAATAGAATGCCGGGGTATCAGCATAGCTCACAGAAACCTCGGACTCCTGGGCTCAAGTGATCCCCCCTGGCTCAGCCTCCTGTGATGGCAGGTGCCTGG